GCAGATAACTGATGAGGCATAAACAGACAAACATTTTTGGGGGAGAGGGTTCGATAGGACAGTGCAGATCGAGCAAGAACACCTGCGATCCATTTCCACGTGTGCAACGTGCTCCTGTGACGACTACGTAATGGCTAGAAATGACGTGCGCGTGCGTGCGATAAACCATGTTCCCACTTTCTCGAGTAGTGGGTGACACTTTGAAATGGTTGCGATAGTGGACCTCACACCGCGTGTTTCTAGCGAAACCTACGTGATACAAAACATGTTGTGCAATCTATGTGGTACACAAATACGTTGTGCAATACATGCGGTGCTCTTTACAAGGCGCAACCCATGTAGAGCACTTCGCCCTACCAAACTTGAAGTTGTCAACTCCACTGTCCGCGCAATCATCCCACCCAGCCGCCCGCAACTTGGTTTGCAAAATCCATGCGGCGGCGATTGCGATGGCTGCTTGGCGATGGCTGGCGCCTCACGGCAGCCGCGTTAGCGCGCGCAGGCTCGAGCGCAGAGCGGCGAGCTACTCAGGCGCGATCTACGCGGCCGCGGTGGCGGTGACCGCTGGGGATTTACCCAAGCGTCTCGCAAGCCTTGCTGACGCGCGGGCGCTTCAGTGTAAGTCGGTGACTCGGGCGGGCGCGGTATCATGGCGGCGTCGACAAAGGGAGACGCTAAGATGGTTGTAGAGATGCTGGTGACGACGATGACGGTGACGACGGCAAGGCCGATGACGGCGATAATGCTGATCACACCGGCTACGATGATGCTGTCCACGTATCAGTGAAGAGAAGAAGACTTGGAAGGATTTCGGCAAGCGCGCGCGGCCGATGTGCGCGAGTGGCCAGCATGGTGTTTTTTGGACAGGATCGTGCACTCCCCCCCCAGCACGCGCGCAAGGGCGCTCGAATGATTTCGACATGCGGGCGCGAGCAGCCCTTTCGATCACACTGGATGAAAATGTTGAAAGACCGATGGTTCTGTGAAGAAACAGTGAAAGCGCGCACACTGTTTTGTTTGAAATGCCACGTTGTCAAAACACTTGTGTTTAATACTGTTTCGGATCGCTCGAGTTCGGAATCCTTACGGCACCTCGAGTTTTAGATGAATTCCAGCATGCGCGCGCAACGACGCGCGCGCGTGGGCTTTGCGCAGTTTGTTGCAATGGGTTTGGAAAAAAGAAGCAGTTGCTGAACGAATGCGCGCGCGTAGTATGATCTAACGAAGGTGAGGGGCTGAGGGTCGAACCAAGCTTGTCTGGGATGCGGCAGAATCATTGAAAATTGTACATCCCCCTGGGTGAACGGATAAACCCAAGGTGGGGAGGGTGGTACATCCGAATTTCTTGTGTCCAACAAAAGATCATTTCTATGTTGTACGACGGCGACCACATAGCAGACAGGCCCAGACGACGTGCGGCGAGGCGGCGGCGACGGGGCGGCGATGGCGGCCACATAGCCGCCAGACCGACACACAGGCCTTGTCCCTTGGAAAATAATGTGAAACCCCTGAGTGCAAACACTGCTTGAGGAACGAACTGCATATGATCAGCGGGATCATTTTGCAAGCACGCCTGCCCACAAACGAACTCTTTAGACACTGGGCAGTCACAGTGGCCTACTCCTCCTAGTCCTGCTTGACCTTCCCCTCCTCATTATTTCCCTCCTCATCCTCCTCATCATCGTCATTACCATCCTGGACTTCTTCCGCAAAGGCGGAAGCAAAACATCAGGCCAAGCCAACGACAACGACTCACACACCACCCTTAGGACGCCCGGCGCAGGATAATAGTAACTCACGACTTGTGCGCACACCCGCGCTGCTTGCCCAGCGCTGGATAATAAACCTCACGCTTGCCGGCCCGCCTGGGCGCCACGCTGGCAAACATGGGCAAGGAGGGGGGGGTTGTTCAAGCGTGCCTGCACGCCAAAACTCTGCACACGCAAACGCGAAACACTGGCACGAGTCAGGACCAACACTGGCTACGCGAAGCATTCCTGGATACCGCAAGCTAATCCTCCTCGCCCATGCTCCTGGCCCTCGGGAGGGGCGAGGAGGGGATGTCGCAAAGGCGGGGACGGAAGGAAGGGAGAATGTTGTGAAGACATGTTGGGAAGGATTAGGAGAATTGTGCTGCTCAGGTGTTGAATTCCGCTTGGGATCATCCGACGACGCCCCGTGACGAGGATGGGGCAGGAGTCAGAGGAACTTTGGAATTAGGGGGAGCAGGGGGGGAGGACAACGGATAGGACGAGGAGGCGGAGGAGGAGGTGGATGAGGACGAGGAGGAAGAGAGAGGGAGACCAATCTCGATACGAATCGACATGAACGAATTACAAATGCTTGCTTAGCAAACTTCTCGGCCTTGCTGAGAGCCTTCGGCCATCGACTTGGCAGGGCCGACTTACACCCTTGCTTCGGTTTGCGTTCGGCACCTCGTGCCATACTGGCCCGTGTTCTTGAAACGTTCCGCTACCCATGAAGTTGACCCTGCGACCATACTAACCAAGGCTAGTTCACACCACACCGTGGTTAGTTTCCAATGCTGATGCAAGCGCATGCGGTGACCACTGCGAGCCAAACCACCCTCCAAGTACGCACGTGCACCCTGACCCCTGATGGCAGCGTATAACATGCACCACCCAGACTTTTAGTGTGTCGCGTCGGCGCCCTCGGCGACACGATATACCCTGCAAGCGAAGCGCGCCGCTCTGGAGGGAGGCGGGAAAGAGTTCGGGACGTGGACGCTTGAAAATGGGGACGTGGATAGTGGGTCAAAGCGCATCCAGGTGGGCCAAAACCGGCGGCGTGACACGCAAAGCCAAATGTTCTGACTGCAACTTTTGCCGTCACGACTCTGGATATGCAAGCAGGGGGATGGCTCGATCTTGTGGCCTGGGCCCCACGGACCGGATTTCCCCCCTGGACGGGGATATGGGCTGTTCTCTTTGGACTTCGAGGGGCCTTTCGCCAACTGGGGTTGTGGGATGGTGGGGCTGGGATATCATGGCCCGGTGGGGATGGGGAGAGGCAACACGATACCGAGTTCCAGGCTTCGCCCAGAGTTGGCAGCGCGCACAAGGGTGTAGGGGGAGGGGGGAAGGCTTCTTAGAAGAAGGCTGCTCCTTAGAAGGCGCCGGTCCTGCGTCTACAGATAAGGCCCACGACTTCGAAGAAGCAAGGGTGTTCCTCTGAAGACTCCCCCACGCCCCATGACCCCCCTCTGCACGTGGCCGGGAGGAGGCCCTCCGCGCGAGCCGCCTCGGGGCCCGTCGAACTGCCTGCCCCCGTCGAAGCCGCCCCCGTCGCGTCCCCGGCCCCCGCCGAAGCCGCCGCCGTCGCGCCCCCTGCCGCCCTCGAAGCCGCCTCCTCCGGGGGGTGGCTGTGAAAGGAGGGGGAACGGAAGGGGCGGAGGAGGGCATAGAGGAAGACAGAACTACACAAACATAAACTTGTAGAGGTCCGCGCGGGTTTCTTGGATCTGCGCTGGCCCCCCCTCCCCGGCGCGCGGAGCGCGCCAGGGGCGGCGCCGGAGGTGCCGCTGGGGGGGGCGCAGCGCGGATCCAAGAGATCCGCGCGGAGCGCCAAAAGTTAATGTTTATGGCGTTTCTCTTCTTCAAGGGCAGGGAAGCGGGCGAGGAGGTACTGTTAGGTCGGGCATGGCTCCCTACAGGCGGATCTTGGACGACAAAGTAAAGATAGTCCAAAAATGCCCCCAAAAAAATCAAGAAATACTCCAACAATCTTCCCCATACTGTTTGTGTTTAGCTACTTTTGGCTACTTCTGCTGTAGAGGGCCAGGCCCGACTTAAAGATACTGCTGCCCTGGAGTTTCTCGCCCTCGAGCGAGGTGTCGCGATCGCGATCGCACCGCAGGCCACCGGCTGCCCGCGGCCCGCGGGTGGAATGCGGCGCGTCCCGCGGGGCCGCGCCCTGCGGATTCGAAGCCGCGTGCCCGCGACGAGCGGACGTGCGGCATGTAAGTGGCCGCCGCCTGGGGCGACAGAGCAGGGCAGGAAAGACGCTGACTTGGGGCTGGGTCCGTGCTCATGTCGGGTCGGGCGAAAGGGGGGGATAACAAAGGGGGGGTTTGAGAATCAGCTCACGTAGCTGATTTTCCCGGCGCCTCCCGGCGCGGGAGGCGGCCATGTATCGAGGAATGGGCCCCTCGGTGAGGCCGAAACCAGCTGCATGCAGCAAATTTCGTAACCCCCCCTTTCCCAATCCCCCCCTTTCGCCCGGCCCGATCATGCTGGAAAGGAGGCCTCACAACGTGGCCAAATCCTCCAGGGCTGTAGGGGAGAGAAGGCCAGCGGGGCGGTTTTCGGAGTGCTCGACGAAGGAGAGGGAGATGCCCATCCACGGCGCCACTCTCTGCCGAGCCTCCTCCGCGCGATGCCTGCCTGCGCTGGCGGGCGAGAGCAAGACGGAGGTGGGGGAGAAGAGCGCACGTAGCATGGGAATGCCGTTTTGCCGACGAACGAGAGCAGCATGCCACATGGAGATGTGGTGGGCATAGTTGCCGAGCTGTGATGGGCTTACAGCAGGCTCGGCGCGTACCTCATGGAGAATGAAGCACGTTAAACTGACAAGATCGTGGTCAGTCTTGATGGCGAGATCGGTGATTTCAAACTCCTCCTCCGTCTCAAGGCCGAGGCACATGATGGGGGACGATGGGGATGCGCAGGCGGGGAAGAACGATAAGGAACAACTAGCGGGGGCAGGCTCGGTAGTGGAGCAACGAGTCGGGATGGCCATAACGGCCAGAGCTGCGGGTTAGCGGCGAGAGAATATTAATCCTGTGGCTGGTGATCCACGCTCCATCGAGGGCTTCTAGGCGCGGCCACACTCTGCACGGCTGAGCAAATGACAAGACTTGGTGAAGTACAGGCCGACTTGCCTGCATCAAGTCGGGGAAGAGAAGGAGGAGGAAGATGGAGGAGGAGGGGATGGGGAGAAGGACCAGGCGGCATCCGATAACCTCCGCAGATAAGGCGGCAGATAAGACGGCATCCGACGACCTCCGCTTGACGGGAGCGAGCAGGCGTGTGAGATGGTTGGCTGTCCCCCCTCCCTCTTTCCCCCTTCCAGGGGTCTGAATTTCAGGTCGTGCCTGTCCCCCTACAGGGGGATTATGGGAGAACAGGTTGAACAAACATCGAAAAATACCCCCTAAATGGTCCAACACTATTGAAACAATTGTCTCCGTACTATGTTTTAACCAGTTCTGAATTTTCCCCCTGTCGAGGGGCAGGCCCGACTCAATCATAACTTCAGTTTGAGGTCGGGAGGGGTGGGGGGGGGCCGGGCACGAGCTCCTCGGCGCATCTCCCCCTCCCAGGCCCTCGGAGCCTGCCTCCAAAGCCACCCTCCGTGGCCTCAAGGAGGACCACACACGCCCAAGGTGAGCGCGTGACGGGCCAAGAGGCTCCGAAGACTCCCCACGAGGACTCGAGATGACAATCAAGAGCGCCTGCAAAGCAGCATCCAATTGCCCATGATTTGCGTAGCGCCTAAAACGCGCAGCAATCTTGGAAGGCAGGAAAGTATCCTGAAGTGGCCGATGCCAAATGCGAGAGAGACGGTCGGAGAGGAGGGAGCGGAAGAAAACAGTCAATCCGTATGATCCAGCACGGGTCGAGGGACAGCAGACGTCGCCAAGCCCTGGACGATGGGGGGGGGGACCGTCGGGAGAGCCCTCCTGGAGGGGGGCAATGGGGGGTGCCCGAACTGGGGGGTGAAGAAGTGGGCCATAGAGGGGCCCTCTTCTTCAGCCCCCCCTTCAGCCCAGACATCCGACGTCTCGATTTTTTCAAGACACGGGCCCCCGACCTCCCGACCACTTCCCTGGGACTGGTGTTTCATCCCGAGTCGTTTTTCGTCGGCCCCGAGGCCCGGCGAGGGCCCCGAGAGGCCAAAAACTGCGAAACGCGAGGGCCGGCGAGGGCCCCGAGAGGCCCGGCGAGGGCCCCGAGAGGGCCCCGAGGGCCCCGACAGGCCCGGCGAGGGCCCGGCGAGGGCCCCGAGGGTCTCGAGGTGTTCGAGGCGCCCGACGTCTGGGAGGTCACCCCCGCTGCCGCCCGCCCGAGCCCGCCTGCCGAGACGTGTGCCGGCAGTCCTGGCGGCCCGGGCACGTCGCGCGGGCGCCGGGGCGCGCCGCGCCCGTAGGGGTCGCCGCCCTGGCCGCGCGACCTGGAGGCAGGGCGGGGCCCCACCAGTCCTCCTCCTCCTCCTCCCCCTCCTCCTCCTCCTCTTGCTCCTCCTCCTCCTCCTCCTCCTCCTCCAACTCCTCCCCCTCCCCCTCCCCCTCCCCCTCCCCCTCCCCCTCCTCCTCCTCCTCCTCCTCCACCTCCTCCTCCTTCTCCTCCTCCTCCTGCTGCACCTCCTCCTCCTCCTCCTCCTCCTCCTCCTCCCCCTCCTCCTCCTCCTCGTGTCGCTCGCCGGGCCCTTCCCGGACCCGCCGCCCAGTGCCCCAGGTGAGGAGCGCAGGCGAAAGAGGAAGCAGGGCAGCAAGATCCATCGTGTCCTTTCGAGCCGTGAAGGCTCTGGGTTGCGTTGGGGTCGGCCAACCCTCAGCCTTCCGTCTCACAGCACGCGATGGTCCCGCACCTCCCCTTTCGCTGCCTTCCTCCCCCTTCTCCTCCTTCGCTCCCCTCTTCCCCCTCGTCCCTCAGCCCCTCCCCGCGTCCGCTCGCCCGGCCGTCTGCGGGGGGGGGGGGGGGGGGCTACTGCCAGGCACCAAGCAACGGGCCCCAGAGACTTGCACTCGCAGGTGCGGGTTTCCTGCAGCCCTGCGAAGAAGGCCAGCGGCAGAGAGTAGCAGGCGAGGGGGGGGGGAAGCCGCGGTCGATCTGAGATGTGCTCACCAGAGAGCACGGCAACCTCTAGGAGCAGCGCAAAGCGACACCACCACCAGCGCGAGGCGCACCAGGGGTGGCCTTCCTGGCGGTGCAGCCCCCCAAAAACTCACTCGAGACATCCCCCTACGAATATCCCAAGCTCTGGAGGCATCCTGGACCCCCTCGCTGGAGATGGCCCCCGTGGTTGTGTGGAAGTGCCGCCCCTCCTTCCTCCGCACCTCAGTGTCAACGCATGTCTGGCTTCCCATCCAGTCGAGCACGCGCGGCATTTCGAGCGTTGCGGAAATCCTGGAGAGAATCAAATCGGCATCCCTTTGGTTTCCCACGTCGCCACGCCTCTGGAGAAGAGACTGTTTCAATCGCCGATCTTTGAGGTCTGCGGAAAAGACGGCAAAAACCCGCTTGCGAGAAAACGCAACTCTAAATCCGCCTGTCTTGAGACATTCCCCAGAAGGAAGTCTCGAAACGGGCCCCCACCCCCTGACAACAAATCCTGAGGCATCCTCCGAAACCAGGGCCCGTCGCCGCGTGGGCTAACGGTGACTTCTGCCTGGATTTCTGGAAACGTATACAACGAAAAGCCCCTGTGGCGTTTGCTTCAAGCCCAGAGCAGCCTTTCACTCAGATCCGTATCTGCAGGTGTGAATGATGGTTTGGTGGGGTTCCTACCATCGCCGATGAAAAGATGTACGTGACGACTGGCTCCTTGTCGCTGAATCCACCAGAGCCGAGGAAAACATCCAATCCGAAGGGGATTTGAATGTGCTGGGTCAGGAGAAAGATGGGACTGATCCCAAAGCAACTTGCCGATCGACGCGGCCATTCATCTTCCACATCCCCCGCATGCTCCCCATCCTTTCTACTACTTCCACTCCTGCTACTCCTTATTCTAGCCCCCTTTTTCATGTCATCTCCCTTCCCTTCTTCTTCCTGGTCATGCTCCCCCCACCCACCGGGAGGCAGGAGGATGGTGGGGAGGGCACCGAAGGCCTGAGCCTCGGGTGCTTGCGCGATGCACCACATCATTTAACCGAATCCATGACTGTATGGAACTGGAGCTGTGATTACATCGAGCTCTCGAGCTGCAACATCACGTCAGGAGCCGCCTGCACTGTAGCCTGCCAGTCCCCATCGGCCTGCAAGACATTCCACCGAACAGGTTTGATGGCCATGCGCATCCAGGGCTATGGCGGCACGAACCCCCGACTTGACCACAAACGGGAAGGGCGAGGAAGCCTGGTTCAAGAAGGGTGGTCTCGACGGCTGCTGGGGCGCCTCGGGCCGGCCTGAGGGGGCCCCGGGTCGGGCTGGGGGGGAGCTCAGGTCTAGCGCAACCAACTTTGCCCAACGAACCCGTGCGGCAGCCTCCGACACAGCAGTTGGGCCTAGCTCGGGGATGAAGGGGATGGGGCCAGCCCGTACTCGACCACAACAACTGTTTCTTATTCGCGATGACGCCCGTGACTGCCTCCGTGACAGGCCCCCTTCCCCGCCTTGGGGAAACCAAACGGTGCCGGGACCACTGCTCCCCGTTTTCTCCCGGGGTGCGCGCTGACTGGAATTTCAAAGCAAATCAACAGGGGGAAAACGAGGGACGGGTAGCGGCATGGGTACCTTTTCCTCCTCTGACCACTGGTCACGTCACGATTCGTGTCGGCACCGTCTTGGATTGAGTATGGTCCGAAACTTTCCCATACGGCGCTGACGCGAATCGTGACGTGACCACGCCCCTCCCCCCCGCCTCCCCCCCTCCCTGATCACCCCCGTGATTGGTCGGGGGATCCAACACGGTCTGTAAGGCTGCGATAGTCCCCTCCTCGAGTTGCCCTTTTTCTGAGCGGCCAGGCGTTCTGTGGGGGAGCTCGGGGATGGGGGGAGAGAAATCGCCCGCGCTCGCAAGCCTCGAGGCTATGCCGATCCGTAAGATTGACGAGACATTCCCAGGGACACGCCCTCAGAAACTGAGGGAATCCTTGCACGAAGCACGACTTCTGGGCATTCCGCGCGGACTTCTGGGATATGAGCTTGGCCCCTGGAGCGCGCAGCGCGCCAAGGGCGGCGCCGGGAGGCGCCGCCGGGGAGTGCCGGGCGCGGATCCAAGAAACCCACGAGAAGTGCCAAAGGCTTATGTTCATGGCGTCGGAGGCGCCGCTGGGGGGCCCCAACGCGGACCCAAGAAATCCGTGCGAAGCGCCAAACGTTTATGTTTATGGCGTCTCTTCTTTTTCGATGTACTGCCCCCAACGCAAAGCATGGCGTCGCACACCGGCGCAAAACACAACGACGCACAACATGTCCTGGCATGGCGCCGGGTGGCCCGGAAGGTAAGTGGGTCGTCCTCGCAAGGTCTGGGCCGGCCTGGCGTCGCAGCTGCACGCCTGCAGCTCCCTGGGCTCCCCGAAAAGCGACACGCCGTCCGACGCTGCCTACGCGCCCACATCGGGTCCTTCGCTGCCGGCGCCGAGGGTCCGCCGGAGCCCGTCGCCCCTCCTGCGCCGCAAGAGGCGGCGCGGCTCGAGAGCGCCCCTCTCCGCGGGGCCGCCGGCCGCCGGCGGGGGCCTGTAGGGGTCGCCCTTGTCCGCGTAGGGGTCCGCGGCAGCGGCGAGGGCCCTGCAGGGGGTGGTAAAGAGCTCTCCCAGGCGCCCTCGCGCTGTGACACACATCACGACGGGAGGCTTTCCCCTATATGGTCGGCCTCGGGCCCCGGGACCGTCAAAAGACGGCTCGGGATGGATAGCCGTTTTCCCCGGGAAGGGGTTCAGACTTTTGAGGGGCACGTCAGGAAAAGATCACGACGTGGGGGTCTGGGGCTCTCGCGGGCAGAGCAGAGGAGAGGGGGAGCGGGGGGGGGGGGCCTGGGGAGCGGAGGAGTGGAGGGCAGGCGGACCAGGCCGGACGCACGGACGCAGGAGAGGCAGGAAGGGGAGAGCAGAGCCCTGCCCCGGGGGAGCCTCACCAGGGTACTGCCGTGGCTGACTTCGAAGTCTGTCGCGTGTGACCCTGCAGTGCGACTGACCACTTCAGAGCTCACACTTGGTCGCTGCACGGGCTTCATACAGGTACTTGGTTTGTACGCATGGTGTGTCACGTAATGCGTATGCACATTCGTATAGCATGCATGAAGAGATGCTCATCCACGCTACGCTCTGATCCACGATTGCCAATGATTCATGCCCGTGCTGCAGTTGGATGTCTCGATGATGTACGTTCTGTCCATAAGGATGTGCGTCATTTCATGTGCTGGCATATCGCACAGATTTCTGCCAGTGATGCCTGGCATCTCCATAATATCCTAGTTTGCCTTTGACGCCCGTTCTTAATCTAACATCGGAGGACAGCGTGACGCCGTGACGCATGGACGGCGTGACGCTGTGACGTCTCCCTGGTGGGCTCGGCGAGGCAGGTTCTCAAGGACATTCGCGGACTCGTTGGTCCTTGCGGCCGCGATTTGCGGGGCTGGCGAGGGAACAACATAAGGCCTGATGCCAGCACGTGGACTCCAAATAGGAGGTTCTTGAACTTACGATGCGCAGCTATGTGGTGCTAGCCATAAACAAGAAAAACCATTAAGCACCACTGGGCGACAACCATAGAGCACCAACCATAGTAACGAACATCCTGGGGCTTAGCCCCGGAAACAGCAGGGCCGTTCCGTTTCCGAAAAAGTGTCCTTTGAAAATGGAAACGGCAAGAAAACAGCGACCCGAATCGACAAAAAACGGCTCCAAGATTGGAAGCGGAGCTGGAACCGGTAAAAAAACGGCGACGGAACCGGTAAAAAAAACTACGTCGGAACCGGCAAAAAAACGGCAGAACGGAACCGGTAAAAAAACGGCCCTGTCGTTTCCAGGGCCCACTGAGTCCTGGGGCACTGACGCGAATGGCCGACCACGGCCAGCCGGTCACCGTGGCCATGCGGCACCGGACATAGGGGACCAACGGGCATCAACCATTAGTGCATCAGAAAGCTCCAGCCATCGTGCACCAAGTATTTTTTCCTCGCAAAGGCGCAGCAGCAGCAGCAGCAGCAGCAGCAGCGTGTCTGCTTGGCTCCACCGCACGGGCATCGGATCATGTCAAACCGGAATATACCAGACAACCAGGTAAACAATCAACGGAAGGGCAAGTATAACACTGCGTCGCGACGAAGAAAGTTGACCGCGTGGAAGGGTGCGCGTCTCAGTAACCAACTAAATAGGCGACGATGGCCCGGCGGTGGCCACGCGAACTGGCAAGAGAGGCCCTCGAATGTGGGACCCGCTGCCGCTAGCCAGTCGGCGCGCGCGGGAAGCAGTGACAGTTTGAACTCTCACTCTGCGCACTTCACCAGCATCAAAATCGAATACAGGACGCGCAGCCTCGTTGCCCAAGTGTCGATTCAGTGCGCACGTGGGAGCATTTGTCAAGCTCATTCACTAAGAATATGTAGAGTCTGCGCGGCCTCGTGTCCGATTGGCAGATTCACTGCACACGCGTGAACATTGCACAAGCTTCAGACAGGAAAGCGCAGGACGATGAGGGAGATGGGAGGATGGAGGTTGGAGAATAGGCAGAAGAGGCCCAGCGCAGATCCCAAAATCCGCACGGAGCTCAAACAGCTTATTATCATGTTGTTTGCCTTCTTCGATCGATGGGTTGGCACGTTGGCGGCGCGCAGAAGCGGATAGGGGAATGGGGGAAGGCGTCTTAGAAGAAGGCCGCTTCTTAGAAGGCGCGGGACCTTGTCTACAGGTGTCAGGCTGGCGCCTTCGAAGAAGCGGCCTCCTTCTAAGGAGCCATCCCCCCTCCCCCTAACCCCCCTCGGCGCGTGGCCGAGTCTGTCTTCTTCGATCGATGGGTTGCCGCGTTGGCAAAAGCCGTGTTCCGCGGGCACTGCGGCGGATCCGCCAGACGCCAGCGAGCGCAACGCCGCGCCGAGCCGAGGGCTCGCGGCGATGCGCTCGGCAGGAGGTGTGCGTGTGAACGCAGGATGGCGAGGATGTCCTCCTGACGTGCGTGGCCGTCCCCCCCCCGGGGCTGGCCGGCCCTGGGGACGTGATCGAACTAGAGGCCAGCCGACTCCTGGAGCGTGTGTGAACAAAGGATGGCGAGGATGTCATTCTGACGTGCGTGGCCATCCCCCCCCGGGGCTGGCCGGCCCTGAGGACGTGATCGAACGAGAGGCCAGCCGACTCCTGTAGCGGTCGCTCCAGGAGTCGCCAGCTGGACCTTTGCTCCTGCTCCTGCTGCTCCTCAAACTCTCCCGCTCCCCCCCCCCACCCCAGGTAACCCTAGCGAGCTAGCTCCATGGGAAGTCCTGAAGAGGTATTTTTCGAGGATCCTGAGTAACCCTGAAGACCCAGGGAAATCCTTTCGAACTCTGCAACATCCGCAAGATTCCTGAGACCTTCCGAAACCTTCTCGGAAACCCCCACGACCCTCACAGAAGCCTCTCCGAAGCGCCTCAGGAGCCTCTCAGAAGCGTCTCGGGAGCCTCGACCAGACGCCTCCGAAAAGATTATGTTCCCGAAACCTCCCAGCAGCCTTCTATAACGATCCTCAGCCTCTCAAGAGCGCCTCAGAACCCGAAGTGTCAGAAGTCCCCCCGAAGCCTCTGATAACCCTCTCAGAAGCCTCTCAGGACCTCCTCCGAAGCCTCCCATAACCCTCCCCTGATCCTCTTGAAAGCCTCTCGGGAGCCTCCCAAACGCCTTCCAGGAGCCTCCCACAAGCCTCTCAGAGCCCTCCCTTGAGCCTCCAACAGATTTGCCAGGAACCTCCCAAATACCCCGGCGCAACCTCGAACAAAAACCAACGTAATCATTGAATTTGACATACAAGGCAAAGGTATCGACAGGGAAATAAGGCGAATCACCAATATCGGCCCCAAACTACCGAAACGCACACTTGTAGCACATGGAAAACCGTGGCTGCGGAGCAGTTGGGGCAATCACTGAAACTCGTCTCAATGAGCCCGCACGTGCAAAGCTGGAAAACACCAGCCGTGTTTTCCCCTGCTGCTAGGATCGGCCGTCGCGGTACTTTACACCACACACCATTGCTCATCCGCGCCCGCGGGGCGCGCGCTCACAACGCGCTCCCCGACCGTCGGCTCGAGGAGGAGCAGGAAGAGGCAAACTGAGCATCGTTTACCCGATCCCCATCCCCACTGACGTGGCCTGGGCCCTGCTGGTCGGTTTACCCCCTAAGATGGGGATGTGGGTTGCTCCTCCTCCTCCTCCTTCCTCCTCCTTCTCCCGCTCCTCTTCTTTCTCCTCATGTTCCTCCTCCTTCTCCTCGTCGTCCTCCTCTTCGTCCTCCTCGCCCTCGTCGTCGTCCTCCTCCTCCTCACCTTCTTCGTCCTCGTCCGCGTCCTCGTCCTCGTCCTCTCCTCTTTTTCCTGCCCTTCCTCCTCCTCCTCCCCTTCCTCCTCCTCTTCCCCTTCCTACTCCTCCTCCTCCTCCCCTTCCTCTTCCTCCTCCTCCTCCTCCTCCTCCTCCTCCTCCTCCTCCTCCTCCTCCTCCCCTCTTCTCCTTTCTCCTCCTCCTCCTCCGCCCCTTCCTCCTCCCCTTCCGCATCCTCCGTTGCGTCCTCGTCCTCCTCCTCCTCCCCTTCCTCCTCCTTTTCGTCTTAGGTTTCCTGGTCGGACAAATGGCGACAGGCATGTTACCGGTAGGCTCTCTGTGAACATGATGGGGTGGGCCGCGTGGGGGCCCTCGGTTTCAGAGCTATCTCAATGAGACTGCAAAGCCCGAAAGATGGGCCAGTGGAAACATTTGCAACAGTTTCAGTGGTGGTGAAGCTTGGCAGGGAGATGCGGGAACGCGAGGTCACGATTCGACAACGACAGGAGCTGGAAAGGCCACGGCAAGGCGCTGCGGTGAATAGGTGTGTTCGGTGGGACGGCGCGGACCGTCGTCCTCATGTTCGGTCTCCTTGCAAGACTGGCGGTGGCAGTCATGTTCTCGGAAAGCTCCCCGGGAACATGGTATGGTGTGGGGGGGGACGTGTTGAAGTCCTCGTGGAGGTTGCCAGGGGATCTCAAATGGGGCTGCAAACCCCGAGGGGCAGCCAGAGTGAGCCATTCGGGGCGGCCCCCCGGAGGCCTCAGAAAGGCACCAGGACGGCCCCGGGCAGGCTCCAGAGGGCGCAGACGAGTGCCCCGAGAAGCAACAATGCTTGATCTCGCGGAGCATTTTCAGTTCTGCGGCGCCCTCTCTCTGCCGAGGTGTTCTGACATTCCACGACGGCCCGCGAGGCCTCCGACAGCGCCTCAGGACGGGCCCAGCAGCCCCCGGAGAAAGGTCCCGGGACGGCCCCATTCAGGGCTGCGTGACGCCCACGAGGCCCTACGACGCCCCACGAGGCCATAAGACGGATCAGCGGACGAGTCAGGATTCCTCTCCATTCCCTGTGTTCCGCCTCTTGATGTGTTTCTGTTTCCTCGTCCCCCCCTTCCTCCTCCTCCTCTTCCTCCTTCTCCTCCTCCTCCTCATCCTCCAGTCCTTTTCCTTATTAGTCTCCCTGTCACACCGCGAGCCCAGTTATTAGCGCGGGCTGGGCGTTTCGCCTGAGACTTCCTCACCACTTATGCCTCTGAAGCTTAAACAGTGGCAACTGTTTCACAGATG